CAAGGTAATTTGGGGGTTTTTTTGTTTGTTTTTTTTAGGTGGTGGGGTAGGAAGTCCGTCTTTGGAATGCTTTAAATTACGTTTAGGAGGATACGTATCTTAACTGCTAAGTGTATTATACAAAAGATTGCGGTTTTAAAAGTAACTCGAAACGTTTTATAAAGTAATTAATAAAAAGAAACGTGCATTAGGCGAACTTCACAGAATATCGGTTAAGAAATCAACAATGTAAAATAATCACCCATAAAAGGTCATTTGATATTTTGAGCCTTTCGCCATTCTCAACACAGGTTGATGATAGGATTGTTTGATATCCGTCATACTAGATGTCCATCTTCGGCAGATTTATTAAGAGGGGGCTCTCGTGACCTAGAGGTTAAGGTGTTCGTCTCTCATTCAATATGTCCCAGGTTCGAATCCGGATAGCAACGGAAATTTTAAAGTTCTAAAATTTTCTCTTTTCACTCACCTCCTTTCCTGCTCTCTAATGTTCTGTCGTCTGCTTTCGTCTCCTCTTTCAGCCCCCACCCCCTCATCTCCTTTGCCCCCTCCTCTGGGCTCCTGCTGACTCTGCAGCCTTTCTACTGCTACTTCCTGGCTCTTTACTGCTGTCTTTTAGCTGCACCTCTGATCTTCTGGTAGGGAAGATCTGCACCAAGCCTTCTCGGATAATGGCGAAAAGTCTGGGAGGTCCCGTGTGCAAGTTGCGCATGTTAAAGATCCATTGATGGTCTAAAATCGATAAGAGTAGGCTTCGGTCTCCACCAGGGTAAAATTCAAAAATTCCTACCTACTGGAAATGTTTAATGTTTACGTTTAGGAGGATACGCGCATATATATGACCTTATGCAGTTTCGAGCGCCGTAAAACTCTTACAAAAAAAAGGGAAATGATCTTGAAAAAACTCGCCCAACAGGTAGGCTAATTTAAGAAATATTCAGAAACGTCATCGAACTAGAGGTATAGTTAACCCCTCGAAACTAAAAATATTCCGAGGTCAAAGAGAAAAGAAAAGAAAAAAAGAAAGAAAAGGAAGTTGAAGACCAGGCTAACAACCAATACAATCTCCACGTGAGGTTCTTTTGCAGAATCACAAGCTTATCAATTAAGGGAAGGAGGAGGGGGAGCCGTAGTAAAAATCCGATCTAATAACCTGTGCACAACACTACTGATTCGATGCATGACTTTGCGAAACAAACATGTCTGATTTTGAAAGTCGTAGCCGAATTAACTTAAACATGTATTCGGTCGTATTCTACCAAATGAAATATGGTAGCTTCTTTTCCCATCCTTAAAGGAAATCTGGCTGGCCTTGAATCCATCCTACATTAATCCAAATGGCAGTGTGCATAGGGTATAATAAAGTAACAACTTTTAAAAAAAATAGATGCCCTAGTAAATACAGTGACACTTGTCAAAGAAGGCCACTCATCATCGAGGGGAAAATTTGCAGTCTTAGACAAGGTGACGTCTCAATACTCATACATTGACATTATAAAGAAAAATAAAATACTCGCAAGGAAGAAATGTACAAGTGATTGTCTTATACAGGTGTCCGTTAGAGGAGGTTCGACTGCAAATACCCGACATTCCAAGGGCGGAAGCCCCAGGCACACCGTTACCACCTGGGGTGTCAAGCTCTGGCCACGCAGCCGTCCCTCTGTCCACCGTACTGTGGAAATTGGGCGGGGCCAAGCCGCTCAGGTAACCAATCAACGCCCAGAGTTACTTGAATACGGTCTGGTGGTCAGGCGGGAGAACAATAACCACAATGAAGAGGGACAAAAAGGAAGTCCATCCCCCCATCCCACTCAAGATTTGTTGTTATATTTATGTCCAAGACGAAGAAAAGTGGGTTTCACAGATTTCTGGGCTGTTCAGGCACGGGTTGATCAGAGCCATCCGCCACCCACGATAAAATAGTTGGAATAGTGCGCAGTGCCCGCCCACGTGAATCGAAAATGACTCAACGAGAAAGACAATAAAATCAGATGTTGCTTTCTATCTTTCTTTTCGTCGTTTGGATTTAATAATGCAGTTGGTGTAAAGGCTAGGAATATGATGGAATTATAAGTTCTTTTCTTTTTTTTCTTTTTTTGTTGTTGTTTCTGAGTTGTTTTGTTTATTATCATTATTTTTGTTGTGTTTCTTTTTAAATTACCGTTTATTTATTAAAATTTATTCTTGATTTTGAATATAAGCTGAAGCCTGCGAAGAAAAGCGGAAAGACACGAAAAACGAAAATCTTATAAGAGCAAATATAATTGACGAGATCTCAAGGTAAGTAGCATAAACGTATTGGAATTTGCATCAGTCAGTCGGGGTCATAAAGTTCGTGATGGATTATGTGTGTGTGGGGGGAGGTATGTGTGTCTGAGTTTGTGTGTGCGTGTGTGTGTGTGTG